CCGCGTTGTTTTGTGTGATAGTGATGGCATCTTAAAGAAAAAGGGAAAGAAATTAGAGATTTTAACTGTTCTACTGAATATTGTTGGATCAGTGCATCAGTAACTCCAATTCCTGTCAGTTCCAAAAATCTTCTAGGATTACTATTTTTTAGTTAGTTTTCTGATTTCTAAGAACAATGACGACAGTAGCATATATTATGGGGTTTTGTTTTTCCTTTTGATATCAGTCAGTAGCTTTACCTTCTTTTATGCAATGTTCTTAATTACCATCTTGTTCGTGTAGCTTCTTTGACAGCCTTATTTAAGCACATTGGAAGTGTTGATGAGCCAAGCACAGATGAATTTATCCGGGAGAAAGTGTTAAGCTTTATAAGAGATAAGGTATCAAGACCATGTCCTATGTTGGTTGTTGCAATGGGTACCATGATCTTTTAAACTTCAATTGGAGACTAAGTGAATGAGTGATCTATTTGCAGGTATTTCCTATTAAAGGAGAACTGTTGAAGCCTAAGGAGGAAATGGAGAGGCATATTACTGATTTGATTAAAAAGGCATGTTCTTGTATCTGCATTTTCAAGTTCTATATGCATCTAGGTTCTGAATCGTCAATGTTTACTTTATTGTTTTTTAAAAGTTACAGGACTAACCTGAGTTCAATTGCAGAGTTTAGAAGATGTAACTGGAGCAGAATTTAGAATGTTCATAGACTTCTTAAAAAGTTTGAGCATATTTGGAGAGAAGGCTGCTCCAGAACGAATGAAAGAACTTATTGGAATTATTGAAGGTCAAGCCGATTTAGATGCACAATTCAATGTGAGTTATTTTCCCAGTCTTTTGAGATAAGGGTAGCGCAATTAAACAAATCAACCTGCACCTTGTACTGCTCTTAGGATCTGGATCCAAAGATTTAAGATTCATTCTAACAGCTTTATATGGTGTAGTTAGAATTAGTAATTAACACCTTAAGTTAGGAGGTAAGTTTTGCTACTAAGACTTGAACACCACTTACCATCTGAAATCCATAAGTTAAAAAATTCATACTTATAGGTGTTTTTTGCCTTTTTGTATTTCAATCTCGTCTTGTTGGTTGAAGTTCTTTAGCAACTGGAAGTTAACATCTCTTTCTTGCTAAATAAATATACTAGTGCGATTAAGTTTTATGTATGCTCATATGCATATTGCGTATTGTGATTTCTTTTTATAGCATCAGGTTTCTGTATAATAACTAATAAGTGTGATTTTGCTTACTGCTGTTTTGGTCCTCTTTTTCAAGTTTATTAGAATGGTTGCAATGCAGGTTTCAGATTCAGACCATATTGACAGATTGATATCTTGCCTCTACATGGCCCTTCCATTTGTTGTGGTATGGAATGTGTTTGGCGTGATAGACTCTGTCTTGTACACTTTTTCTTATGTTTCTGTCTTGTACACTTTTTTTTTTTTTTTTTTTTTTTTTTTTTTTTTTTTTTTTTTTTTTTAAATTAACAACGTTCTATTATTTGTAATGTTTCTGACACAGAGAGGTGCATCAAGTAGCAAGTTCCTAAACTATCTCAACAAGCACATAATACCTGTCTTTGATAAGGTAATAATACTTTACCTGCTAAAGTTTGGTGAACTTCTACCTGCAAAAGTTTGGTGAAATTTTTTTATTTCATTCAGAACTTCCTAAACTATTAGTCACCCAGTTGGAGCCTTCTTCTGTATGTAAAGTTCTGGAGATTCTTGTTAAAATTTGGCTGGTTCAATTTTCTTTTGAGAGAGAAAAATTAAGTCAAGACTCAAGAAATGTATTGTTACATTTTCGCTGTCAGTTACCTGAGGAACGGAAGTTAGATTTGCTCAAAGCTCTTGCAGAGATTTCACCTTACACAACACCACAAGATTCACGCCAGATTCTTCCTGCTATTGTTCAACTGTTAAAGGTATGGTACTTTGTTTCAATGACAATAATTTTGATTGAATGCTTAAATGAAAGAACATTTATAAGTCACATCGATATGTTTATGACCTTATCAAGTGCAATTGATGGCTCGGTGTTGTCCCTTTGCAAACTCTTGCTCAAATAAGAAAACTATCCTGAGATTTTCTGTAGTTTATTGTGTAATCATGAGTGTGAATACATTTTTATGCTTATCTTCCCCTTCTTTCAGAATTACATGCCTCGGAGGAAGACAGGAGAGGAGATGAACTTCACTTATGTTGAGTGCTTGTTGTACTCGTTTCACCATCTTGCTCACAAGGTTGCTGATTTCCTATTAATTTGCTTTGTCAATTTACTAGCATTTGATCGCTGTTGTGCAAAGCTCACTTACTCTACTTTCTTGGATAGGTTCCCAATGCTACAAACAGTTTATGTGGTTACAAAATAGTAACGGGCCAACCATCAGATAGGCTTGGGGAGGACTTCTCTGAGCAATACAAGGACTTCACTGAAAGGTGATTGTTTATATATACACGTTTTTTGTTTAAAAAAATGGAATTGTGTATATTTTTTGAATTGGGAGATGCTATCTAGGTAGTAAAGTGTTTTTGAATAATATCAACGACTTTGCATTAAATTCCACCTGCATTAGTGTCAGTAAGGTCTATCGTGATGACAAAGAATTTCCTCCTTTCTTGTAACCCACGAATAAAAATTTCTTTGATGAAATTAATGATTCTCTGTCCTGCATTGTGGTTTAATATTTAATTGCTGTTACTATTTGCAAGTATGGGGGAATACTTCAATCTGTTCCTGCTCTATTTCCCAAAGAGAGGATATTATTCCGCCTTTTACGAATTCATTTTCTTAGGACACCTTGGGTGGAAATTTTGAAAAAGACTTTTGACCATTCTCAAACTTAGGAAGTCAAAACTGCTGTTGCTTTGGGTAGAGGCAATAGGGTTTTGGAAGTGGAAAACTTTGTCTCGGTGTAAGGTGCTATACGCTACTGTTGTCTCATCTTGAAACATGCAATCAAATGATACATGCCGCTAAATCATTTGTTCAGGGTACTTCCCAAGGCGCCAGTACTAATCTTCTCCATTAACTATTATAAATCATTAACTATTATAATCTTCTCCGCTAAATCATTTTTTTGTTTTTGTTTTTTACCATGTTTGTTGGTTAGACATCATGAGGCAGTACAGTATGGCTTAAACCTCATTATGTTATGGTTCATTCATCATGTGTGTTCTATAGTGAAGCTCTTTTATTCATTTTCCTTTTTTTCTCATCAAGTATTTTCACTAATATGAACCCAGCTGTTTTTTTCATTATTTATTTTAAGGAACTCATAGTTTAATTGTTATGGTTCAGGCTGACTAATGTGGAGGAGCTAACTAGGGCTACCATGAAAAAGTTAACCCAGGGAATGGCAGAACACAATAAAGCGATGGCAGCAGCCAAAACTGATGAAGCCAAGGGTACCGTTGTGAGTTTTCAAGGAAGCTTCCATTCTTTTTTGTAGTTTCAACTGTCAAACATTTTTCTTCCCACTTTAGTAGTATACTAAAGCCATGTTCTTATGACGTGTAGAAAACTCAGAAGCAGAATACAACAACTGGATTGCGAACCTGTAACAACATTTTAGCAATGACAAAGGTTAAGGGAATGACTAATTGTTGATCTTTGAATCCATTTTCATTTATGCATGATCTATCAAAATTAACCTGTTTATAATCTCTGATGGTTCAGCCATTGCATGGGAAAACACCTGCATTTATTGGAGATAAGAGCATCAACTTATCATGGAAAGAAGCAACAAAACCTGCAGTGTCTTCCGCGACTGCTACTGTTGGGTAGGAGAGATCTGCCTGATCATTACTTTCATCTTTCCAGAATGGATTATCGATTGATTATTAATTCTTTCTTCGCATTCATCATTACTAACCACTCTATGCAGTCTTTGTTTAAGCCCCCGTTCTAATTATTCGTCTTTATGGCTGAGCATTAGCATATCGTGTGTAACTTTTTCTTATTGTTGTACAAGTGTAGGGAATTAATTTGCATGTTTTTGCTTTTAGATCTTGCAGGAAAGTATGCACGCTTAACTTTAGAAGCAAGAAATAAATCTGTTCTTATTTTTGTTTCAACTGTTTGTGCAGTGGTAAACGGCCTGCTACTGCTGCAAATGGATCAGGCAATGCCGCTTCGAAAAAGGGCCGTGGTGGTGGTGGTTTTCAAAATCAGCTCATTAACAGAGCATTCGAAGGTTTATCTCACGGCGGGAGAGGCGGGATAAGGGGCAGAGGCAGGGGATGGGGCGGCCGCGGGAGAGGAAGGGGCTACCGGTAAATCTCGATGAGTGATTCAGTATGAAAATAGCTAGAGGCCTAGAAGGCTGGAAGATATGTTACCAGAAGACAGTCATAGGGAACTTAATGTATGGAATTCTTCTCGTAGTGACAGGTCTTGTTTCATAGAGGAAGTTGATGAGTTTAGACTCTGATTTGGACTAACAGTTATTATTGTATTCCCCGGAGAATAGACCGGCTGTGATTAGAGCTCGAGGATTCCGAGTCTTTTGAAACTTAGCTGGTCAAAGCAAACAAAATCCCGGATTATTGAGGTGAAAGTGCATGAATGTCTGTGAGTTTACTTTAACGATTATTGCATTCAAAGAGGATGATATTGTAATTGAAATAATAGTGTACTAGTTAATTATAATTAGCTTACTGTTGTTGAATGCTTGACTCCCTCCTAAGGGTATCGATTTTCTTTTTTTGGAGTAAATGACCTTTTTTTTTTTTTTGAAAAGATTCTCACAAAATAAGAGATCGCTTACCAAAAAATTTCAGAAAAAAATTAGTAAAAATATTGACAATGGCGAGTGTCACTGACCACAACATTTGTAAAGCTCGAGATTGATTAAGCTAATATAGATAAATGAGATTAAGGGGATGTTTGGTTTGAGGATTCAAACCATAATTTGAATTATAGTTTATGGTTCGTTACAGTATTTTTTCTCATAAAAAATACACATAAATTGAAAATAGTTCTAATCATATGATTTTAATCCATAAACTAAACGTCTCTTAAATTAAATTAGAATTTTCCCGCCAACTAAATGCCTATAGTAGGTTGATGGCGAGAGGCAACGAATTTTAATATGAGGACTATAGCATCTGATTTGGATGCCTATAACCTAACATCTGATTTCTTGAATGCCTATAACCTATAGAGGCAACAAAATGCCTATAACATAACATCTGATTTGGATAAATTGTGACTTTAGCATTCAAGAAATTTATCCTTTGCAGCTACGTTCGAGTTCTCAGTAAAAAATCAAGTGAAGTACGATTGGAGCGGAATTAAACAAATGCTATATTTGAAATCAATATCATAATTTATGTTTTTTGTTATCATATTAACACATTTACCATTCTTTTTTTTTGAGTATTTCTACCAATTTTTGTATATATACCAATATTTTCATCATTAAAAGCATCATATGCCTTGTGTTAAACTCCCCTAATTTTTCCCCAAATTTCAAAGTAGTAGTAGTACTAATAATACAATAATAATAATAATACAATAATAATAATAATAATAATAATAATAATATGTATATATTTTTTCTTTCAAATTCATCAAACTAATTTGAACACTTTTAAGTACCGAGATTGATTAATTTAATATGAGCAAACAAGATTTTTAGGATTTTTGGTAGAGGGATTCGTTCCCTGATTCGAATCATGATTCATGATTCGCTACAGTATTTTTTCTCACAAAAAATACACGTAAATAAAAAATAATTATAATCACATGGTTCTAATCTATGAACCAAACGGAACTGTCGCTAACCTAACTTCTATAAATAGTAAGTAAATGGCAGGAGGTAACGGTTTTTCAAAATGAAAACTATTAATACTGGATTTAAACAAATTCTGACTTTAACGTTTGGAAGATAATGAAAACTATTACCTTTTGCAGCTCTCGTCGAATCCCAAGATTCGAGTTCTTAGTAAAGAATCAAGCGAAGTAGTAACTATTGGAGCAAAATTCATTACAAACATTTTATTTTAGAATAAATACTCATAATTACTAGAATTTTATTTTATCATAAATCGTCTATATCTTTTCTATTTTTAAGAATTGAGAAAATTGCTGAACTTAAGAATTTTTAAAAATATTTCTACATCTACCAATATTTTCATCTCTAAAGCAGCATTATGCATTTGTCTCGTTAAAACTCCCCTATTTCTTCTCCCAATTCCTCACGTAATCTAATCCTTTATACTGTGTAGATTACAATGGAATAAACAAATTTTCAAAAAATAAAAAAATAAAAAAAAATAAAAAAGAAACAAAACAAGAAAAACCATGGGCGTGCCAGCATGACGCCCCTCACGGCTCACCTTCAGTACCAATAAAGACGCAGACCACCACAAGCACAAAGGTCAAAATCCCGTCTCTTCATTTAAAAAAAGAACAATCCCCTCTCTCTCTCTCTCTCTCTCCTCTTTCTCTGTCTTCTTTGATTCAGACACCCAAACACCAAATTCGCTTTCACTCGGCCAGGGCCTCGAGAAAATCGTTTCTTCGAAATCCGAATTCACCAACTTCGTATTCCATCTTCTTCAACCAATTCCGCAAACTAAAAATGGAGTCGCATATCACGGCGTCGCCCATGTATCCCGTCGACGCCTTGACGCCGTTCCTTGACGGCGCCAGGCGCGGCGCGGTTCCTGCGGCGCGCGAGCGGGCGGGGCCTGATGCTGCGGGAGCCGTCGGTACGGGTGCGCGAGGCGGCGGCGCAGCAGCTGGAGGAGCGCCAGAGCGACTGGGCCTACTCGAAGCCCGTGATCGCGCTCGACATGCTCTGGAACGCTGCTTTCGTCGGGATCGCGATCGCCGTTCTGGCGCTGAGCGCCGCGGAGGACCCGTCCGTGCCGCTGAGGGTGTGGATTATCGGCTACGCCTTCCAGTGCGCGGTCCACATGGCATGCGTGGTGGCCGAGTACCGGCGGAGGCTGCACGAGGCTCGCTTGGCAGAAATGGAGGCGTCTCGGGGGTGGGAGAGCGGCGGGGATTTGAATTCGAATTCTGGTTCCGGAAGTGATGCGGAGGATTACGCGGCTGAGGACGATTCGGATGATAGTTTAGATGGAAACAGGTAATTTCAGGGCTTCTTAGGTTAAAATTACGATATTTTTTGTTGAATTGATTCTGTATGGAGGAATTTCAGGATTGAATTGTTGTGGTATTTGATTGGTTCTTATTGGTGCAAATAGTTGCATGATTTAGTGTGATTTTGGCTTGTTTGTGATCCGTGTCATACGTAAATGCGTTATGTCTTTCTCATTGGTTGATACTGCAAATGAATTCTCGGATTGACTTGGTGTGCTTTTGATTTAGTTCTTATTAATGTAAAGTTGGATGATTAATCGTGATTTGAGTTTGTTTGTAATTCATGTCATATGTTTTTGTGCGTGTGCATGCGTTATGTGTTGCTCATTGATTGATTCTTCCAGGGTTGAATACTTAAATTAGTGCCTGTTTGGGATTGCTTCATGAAATGTTCTTTGGCTTCTGAGTCCAAAACTTGTTTCTTCTGGGAGTGTTTGGATTTTTTTTTTATTTTTTTTTATTTGAAGAGCTTTGGCTCTCCAAAAAGCTTAACATGTCGTTTCTAATCACTTTCACCCGTTATTGATAGAGATTCAAAGCTTAACTTGCAAAGTCCTTCTCTGCTTAAGAACAGCCTGATCTTCTTGTTATCAAGAAGGTTATAACTTTTCTTTCTCACTTATTCCTTCCCCTTCTCACCTGCCTCTTTATAGTTTCTATATATATTCTTCTTTTGCAAACAAGGAGACCAAATGAAGCTAGCTTCAGCTTTCTTGATCATATAGAGAAAGTAGTGCTTCACTAGCTTGTAGAGAGATGCATATATATATATATATATATATATACACACACACACACACACACATAATTATTCAATATGTCCAGCCGAAGGTCCAGGAATTTGGAGTCTTCAAGGATTTCTGATGACCAAATACTAGAACTTCTTTCCAAGTTACGCCGACTTGTTCCAGAGATTACTCCTAACATTTTTATTGCCAAATAGAAAATTTAGATTTTTTGTCCAGTTAAACATCTCCAAAAATGTGCTTCCAAACACCAACTGAAAAACCATTACTTTTACTTTTCTTGTACTACCTTAAAGTACAAGCAAAGGCATTGCCACTGGTTTGGCATTGCTAGGACATGTTTTGCATTGCTTTTAGATAGTAGAAAAAGAGAAGTAAAATATTTGGGTTTTCAGTTAGTGTTTGAAATCACATTTTCAAAATTTTTTAACGGATTAAAACGATATTTAAATTTTCTTATAAGCAGCAAAAGAATTGTTAAAGTGAAGCTCATAAAACCTTATTAAAGCTGTGGTACAAGTTTCAAAGACTTTATAGAAGAGCTTCTATGAGAAGTCATAGTTTGTGTTTTTTACTATAAGCTCTTTTAAAGGAAAATTTTTTCTGAAAAGTTATCAAAGCACTCGTGGAAGAAGAAATGCCAAACATGCCAAGTTTGTTTAGGGTTATTTTCACTTATATTTTTACAATAGTAGAAGGGAAGTATAAGTTTTAGCTTTTAAATTACTTTTTGTACTTTGTATAATCTATTTGAAAAGAATTTATAAGATGAACATTATTTTATTTAATTTTTTCATTCATCAGTAAAAAGTAGAAACGGAAATAACAAATTTTATTAAAACTTGTATTATAACTTTATGGAATCTTTTTCAGGTGGAGCCATGTGGCTATGGCTTCTGCTTGAAGAACTTTCAATAATTCAACACTCATATAGTATTTCATTCAAGCACCTTCAAAAGCTGCTTTTGGGCCCAGAAATCCAAAAGTTGACTTCTAGAAGTCATGCTAAACATACTCTATAGGTAAGTTGGGATTGCTTCCTGGAAGTTGATGGCTCCCTGAGTCCAAAAATTGCTTTTGAAAGTGTTTGGGCAGTTTTCCGGAAGAGCTTTGATCCTCCAAAAGAAAGCTTCTACTCAAAGATACAAAATGCAGCTTATTAGAAAAGCTCTTCTTAGGCTTTAAAACTTATATGAGAGCTTTAATAAAATTTTATAAACTTTATTCTAATATTTTTGTTACTTGCTAAAACATTTAAAGCTTTTACTTTTCTTTTTCTACTGCTTAAACGCAAAAGCAAAAGTAATGCCAAACGGGCTCTAGTTTAGAATTTGATTTAGTTTATATTGATTAACATAGGTGTATGCTTTTTGCGGACGATATAGTTTTAGTTGATGAACATAGGGAAGGAGTTAACCGTAAGTTAGAACTGTGGAGACCGATTCTCGAGATGAAGGGATTTAAGCTAAGTAGGACGAAAACTGAATACATGTATTGTAGGTTTTGTAACTCAAGTAATCAGAGTGATAGCATTTCTTTAGATGGTGTGGAGATTGGGATTTCTAGGAAGTTTTGGTACCTTGGGTCTATAGTGCAGTACGAAGGAGATATAGAAGAGGATATTCAACATAGGATTAAGGCAGGGTGGGTTAAGTGGAAGAATGCTACGGGAGTTTTATGTGATGACAAGATGCCTATTACGTTGAAAGGAAAGTTCTATAGGTCTGCAGTCCGCCTAGCTATGTTATATGGTAGTGAATGTTGGGCTATTAAGAGACAACATTTATGTAAAGATGAGTGTGGCAAAAATGCATATGTTAAGATGAATGAGTGGCCATACGAGAATGGATCGCATAAGAAATGAAGTTATTCGTAGTAAAGTAGGTGTAGCACCAATAGAAGATAAGGTGCACGAAGGCCGCTTGAGGTGGTACGGGCATGTCCAACGTAGACTGCTAGAAGCACCAGTTCGTGCTTGGGAGGACATTCTTATACCTAATACTAGGAGAGGGAGGGGTAGACCAAGAATTACGTGGACCGAATTAATTAGAAAAGACATTCTAGATCTAGGCCTTCAGGAAAGTTTAATTTCGAACAGAGCTGCGTGGAAAAGTGAAATCCATATAGCCGACCCCAATTAAGTTGGGATTAAGGCTTGTTGTTGTTGTTGTTGTTGTTGTCATAGTTGGATTATGTATTTTGTTTGGGCTTGTTTATAATCTCTATCATATATAATAGGCATTGTATGATTGCTCTTTGGTTGATGCTGTATATTGTGTTGACAGTCTTGCAAAGAATCTGGAGTCTGCCAACACAATGTTTTCATTTATATGGTGGATTGTTGGGTTCTACTGGGTGACAGCCGGCGGTGACAATTTGGTAACTGATGCGCCGCAGTTATACTGGTTAGTTCGGTCAAATTTTCAAAGATTACTCTTTTAAGCATTGGTCTGGTTGGTTGTTTTCTTCTCTTGTCACTCATCAATGGTCTTTGTTTCTTTTGCAGGCTTTCTGTTCTTTTTCTTGCTTTTGATGTGGTTTTTGTTATGATCTGCGTTGCAGTCGCGTGCCTTATTGGCATTGCCATTTGCTGTTGTCTCCCATGCATAATTGCAATCTTATATGTTGTCACAGATCAGGTAATGACCAAGGATTTTATGGTATTTGATTGTTGTATTCCAATAAGATTCTGCTGCAGTTCAAAAGTAGACTTCCCTCTATTTTTATTTATTTATTCTTTTTTTTTTGTGAAAATAAAAGGAGATGATAATTGATATCAACGGACTCTAAAGACGTTCCAACTAGGTCGGCACCCCCTAGAAAATCTGTTCCACATGCTCATATTATTAAAATAGAAAGAAATACATCAAGGTTCTAAAAAGAAAATACGAGCCCAGGGGTCACATGGGGTAATTTTGTGAAGGGTTGCAACATTGGCTATTTGTTGGGGCATATGGTTAAAGAGAAATAGCGGAGTTTTTGAGGATTGCAAGGAATTTGTCTCTGTCCTATAGGATAAAATTAAATATTGGGTTTCGTTGTGGGTATATAGGGATAAAGAGTTTGACCAGCCGTTATTTTCAGATTTAGTTAGGAATTGATCTAGTTTTGACGCTTTTTTTTTTTTTTTTTTTTTTGTAATTTAGATTTGGTCTGTTAGAGGAAAGCTCTTCCTTTGCTTTCATTGCTCCTTTTTCAGATTAATAAAGCTCTCTTTTTCTTTTCAAAAAAAAAAAAAAAAAAAAAATACAAGGCCAAAGCCAATTGAAAAGTTAGAAAAGAGACGAAATTGAGTAGATCTGGTGACAAAGGTCAACCCTAGACTTTTCCTTTGATAATCAATTCTATAAAACAACTCATTGAAAACCTTGCTAGGGAAAAACCTAGCAAGGGAAAAGAGTGCCTCTGCTTGCAATGAGTAACCGAAAAACTACTAAGGTTCTGTAATTTGCAAAGTCACATTGTATTGCCGACGTTAGAAGCACCTAAACCTGGAGCATTGAACCACCAAGATTGTTGATTTTCCAATTTATTCAAGTTCTTCCTGGCATAAGCTATGGCTAATTTTGGTATCTGGGAAAATGAAGTCCTATTAATATTTTTTATTTATTACAATTCAATTGTCTCCTTGATCGACAATATGGGCAACTTGAGGTTTATTGCAATAGATGAGTTTATGGATGAGTTTTATTGTGCAATCTGGCAATTATTTGAGGGTTCTTAAATTAGTTCTATTATGCTGTAATGCGGATCGAATGATGCCTGGTAAACGTGTTATAGTGGGGATCTGTTAGCCCTTTAGATTCGGAGAGGCGCGGTGGCATGATGGTTGGTGCATCATTTCCATCGGCCTAGGTGCCAAGGCATGCTAGCAAGGGTGGCATGGCCTTGGGCCAAGACTTGGCTGGTCAGTACGATCAACATTGTAGGCACATGGCATGCTGCGTGTGCGAAGCTGTGCGTGTGGGTGTTCGAGTGTGCATGATGGTCGGTTGTGTGGCGCAATGACTTGGCTTTGTGCCTTGTCAGCGCACCAAGTGGCGTGGGACGCCACAAAACTTGAAAGGCAGGTAGGCTTAGTCAATTAGCACATGTGATGAGACTAAGCCTTTGTGGTTACTAGCCTTTGTGGCATGCGGATGAGACTGAGCGCCTCTGGGGCGGATAAGGCCAACAGATAGTCAGTGCATGGGCAGACAACGTGTCTGTCAGTTACGCTGACTAGCCAGACACACCCAGATGTTCCTGGTTGGTTGGTCCATCTCACCCTAGCCGGTTGGGGGTTGTCAATTGGACTTGTATGGCTTATATTCACGATTGTGTGCAGTGACATGGGCTTTTGTGGCATGCGGATGAGACTGAGAGCCTTTAGGGCGGATAAGGTCGACAGATGGCGCAGTGCATGATCAGACATGTCTGGCAGTTGCGCTGACTAGCCAGACACGGCTAGATGTTCCTGGCTGGTTGGTCCAGCGCACCCTAGGCAGTTGGGGGTTGTCAATCGGACTTTTATGGCTTATATTCACGATTGTGTGTAAAGACATGGGCCTTTGTGGCATGTGGATGAGACTGAGAGCCTCTAGGGTGGATAAGGTCGATAAGTGGCGCAATGTATGGGAAAACGTGTCTGGCAGTTACATTGACTAGCCAGACACGCCCATATATTCTTGGCTTGTTGGTCCAACGCACCCACCCTAGGCGGTTGGGGGTTGTCAATCGGGTTTGTATGGCTTATATTCACGATTGTGTGCAGAGACATGGGCATGTCATGATCTTGCAAAGTCTGTAAACACGTGTATTCCTTTATTGAGAGAATAATAAAGGTTGGGAGGGGATTTCCCATATATTGTGTGCCTTGCGTTTCTGATTGTTGCCGGTTGCTTATTTTCTACGTGTGATTGTTTATTCGTGTGTGCTGTGTTGCATTGGTTTGGTTGACTGAGTGAGGATCACTTGGGCCATCATGGTGGTGTAATTTTGTGTGAAACCCTTGTGACAACTGGTATCAGAGCCCACTTATGAGCTGGGCATGCGTATGACTGCGATGTCAAATTGAGAGAAAGTCTCTCAGTTGGAGAATGTTGTTTGGGCTCCGATAGAGGACAATGTCTCGAGTCTTGTGGTTCAAAATGAACAACAAGAGGAGCAGATTGCCTTGTTAAAATCTGCGCACCAAGATTGGGTGAAAGATGTCGATTCTCGGTTCAAGACCATGCTTGAAGATTTCTCTACATTTGTTGAGACCGTCAAGGAGAATTTTTGAGATGTGGAAACCGAAGTTGCTGCTCTGAAGAAGGCGCTAAGTGCCTGGAACAGGGCAAATGGTGGGGCGGCCTCGAAGTTGAAGTGCCTGAACCGAGTTGCTTCAATGAGACTTAGAGTGCGAAGGCCTTGGAGAACTTTTTGTGGGATGTCGAGCAGTATCTCAAGGCTACTCGTGTGCCTGATGCGGAGTAGGTCACATTCACAAGTATGTATCTTTTCGGCGATGCAAAACTTTGGTGGTGCACGCGCATGGAAGATGATGCTAGCGCTGGCAGGCCTCGGATTGAGACATGGGAGACCCTTAAGAAGGAATTGAAAGATCAATTCCTCCCTTGCAACATTGCGTGGGTTGCGAGAGTCCTTTAAGGAGTTGAAGCACATCGGAACGATTCGAGATTATGTGAAGCAATTTAGTTCCTTGATGCTGGATATTAAGAACAAGAGTGAAGAGGACAAGTTATTCAAGTTCTTGTTTGGCTTGGTGCTTTGGAAGCAGGCCGAGTTGCGTAGGCATACGCAGGATGTGAAAGATCTTCCCACTGCCATTGTTGCGACATATGGGCTTGTTGATTACAAATTCTTAGGTCCGTCGATGGAGAATAAGAAAGGGAACAGAACGAAGAACAAGAACAAGGAAGGGAAGAATGCTGATGGCCAGAAAAAGAAGAATAGTGAAGGAAAGAAGGGTGGGGGTAATTACTTGCAGAACAAGAATAAGGACAACACGGGTTATTTCCTTCGCAATGGCCCTCACTGAGCCAAGGATGTCCCAAGGAGAAACTTAGTGCACTGATTGCACAAACAGACAATGATGATGCTGAGTCTAGTGATGCCCCATCCTGCATGAACCCCTTTCAATTGTTGCCATGACTACAGAGAAGCAGCCCCCAATTCAAGGGCTTGCTATATGTCAAGGCGCAGGTCAATGGTCAGGAGGTGAAAGTGATGATAGACAGTGGTGCTACTGGCTACGAACAATTTCGTGTCTCAGCGCGAAGCAGGTAGGCTGGGACTCACTGTGAGAAAGAATTCTAGCAAGCTGAAAGCGGTGAATTCAGAGGCAAGGCCAATTGAAGGATCTACAATGGCCAATTTCATTGTTGGTTTTAGGGAAGGTGAAATCAATATGATGGTTGTTCTATTAGATGATTTTGATTTGATTATTGGCATTGAATTTTTTGTTAAGGCCAAAGTTTTTGTTGCACCTCACTTACGTGGTATTTTCGTTGGTGACGAGAATATGCCTTGCTTTGTTCAAGCAATTGGACAGGGCAATGCGAAGGGCAAAGAGATTGAACTGCAACTTGCAAAAAGCAGTTCGAGCCGGGAGTGAAGAAAGGCCAACATGCTTACGTTGTTGCCTGATGTGGTTGTAGAAGTGCCTGATTCGGTAGCCACTATTTTGGAGGAATTTGCTGACATTATGCCTTCTGATTTGCAAAAGAACTTCCTCCCTGGCGTACAGTAGACCACAAAATTGAACTGGAGCCTAGTGCAAAGCCCCCTGCAAAAGCCCCTTATTGAATGGGGCCCCTTCAGAGTTAGTAGAGTTGCGGAGAAAATTTGACGAATTGCCAGGGGCAGGTTTCATCCAGCCTTCAAAAGCGCCGTATGGTGCCCCGGTTTTGTTCCAAAGGAAGCAAGATGGTTCCGTGAGGATGTGCTTGGATTACCGAGCCTTGACCAAGGTCATCGTGAGGAATAAGTACCCGGTTCCGAATGTTGCTAACTTGTTTGATCGGTTGTCTAAGGCTTACTTCTTCATGAAACTGGACTTGAGGTTGGGTTATTGGCAGGTTCGTGTGGCAGTGGGTGATGAAGGAAAAATGACCTGGGTGACTAGGTATGGTTCCTTTGAATTTTTGGTGATGCTTTTCAGCTTAACAGAGTGACTAGGATGAGAAGAAGGTGAAGGCAATCCTTAATTGGCCTCTTCCTACGAAAGTGGCTGATTTGAAATCTTTTCTGGGATTTGATAATTACTATCATCAAGGAGTATTCGAAGCGAGTTAATCCCTTGACAGATTTGCTTAAGAAGGACTAGAAGTGGCGTTGGACTGATGAGTGTCAAGAGGCATTTTAGAAGCTAAAGGTTGTTGTTGCCTCCGAGTTGGTTCTCAAGTTGCTTGATTTTGAGAAGTCCTTTGAAGTGCATGCCGATGCCTCTGATCGTGCTATTGGTGGTGTTCTAGTCCAAGAGGGACACCCATTGGCGCCTCTGAGAGTAGGAAATTGAAGAACTGTGAGCAGAGATATTTGGTTCATGAGAAAGAGATGGCTGTCGGGGTCCATTATCTTAGTGCTTGGAGACATTATCTCTTGGGAACCAAGCTTACTGTTATGACAGATAATGTTGCCAATATATAGTTCAAAACTCAGAAAAAGCTGTCTCCGAAGCAAGCAAGATGGCAAGAGTTTTTGGCTGACTTTGATTTCATGTGGGTACACAAACTGGGAAGGCAGAATTAGGTTGCTGATGCCTTGAGCAGGAAGGATGTCGAGGCATGTGTTGCAGTGTTGTCTTCGGTGTAGACAACTTTGTTCGACTGGGTGAGGGAGCAGGTTGTGGTCGATGCTACCTACTCAAAACTGATTTGAGAAGTCAGTGACGGTGTGGTGAAAAGGTACCGTGCTGAAGATGGTCTGTTATATGCCAAGGATGACAGACTATTTGTCCCTACGGGTGGGGGACTTCGGCGAGAGTTGCTGTATGATCCTCAATGGGCTGGTCACCCAAGGGGCAGAGAGGATGCTAGCTTTGTTGTCAAAGTCGTATTATTGGCCAAAGATGACGTTAAGTTTTATGTGAAAACTTGTGTGCTTTGCCAACAAGATAAGTTGGAAAGGAAGTGTGAAGCGGGCTTGTTGCAGCCCTTACCTGTTGCTGAGAAATTGTGGGAATCCATTTCGATGGATTTTATTGTTGGTTTTCTAGATGTGAAGGGATGAGTTCGATCCTAGTTGTGGTGGATTGATTCTCAAAGTATGCTGTTTTTATCCCCGCACCTAATGCTTGCCCCACTGATGTTGCTGCTGAGTTGATTTTCAAGCATGTGGTGAAGTTATTTGGGTTGCCAAGAGACATTATAAGTGACAGGGATTCTCGGTTTATTTGGCTGTTTTGGATTGCTTTGTTCAACTGGATGGGGTTTAAGTTGAAATTTTCTATGGCTAATCATCCACAAACCGATAGAATGAATTAGTTGCTCAAAGAGTATCCAAGGGCCCGTTTGGTTCATGCGTTTAAACCAGTGATTCTTGATTTTGACATTTAAAATTCAAATTTTTTGTGAGAGAAAAACATGGGTTTAAACGCATGAAACAAACGAGCCCTAAGGCACTATGTTAATGCAAGTCAGAGGAATTGGGTTGATTTACTTGTGTTGCACAGTTTTGTTACAACCTGCACAAGTCCTCAACCACTGGGATGAGCCCAACGGAGTTGGTGATGGGCCAACAGCCTTTGACGCCTCATGAGGTAGCCAAGCAAAAGTCCCAATGCAGTTGCCCTACGACGTACAGGTTCGAGAGGGACAAGACGGAACTGTTGGAGTCGGCCCGTGACGGCATAGCCAAGGCTGCCAAGAGAATGAAGAAATATGCTGACAAGCATCGTAGGCCGTTGGAATTCGAAGTGGGAGATAAGGTATGGCTTAAGCTTGCTCCCCGGACTTGGAAAAAGGTGACGAATAAGCGTTACCACAGGGGCTAGTGGCCAAATATGATGGTCCCTTCGAGGTGGTGAAGCGAGTTGGGAATGCTGCCTATCGATTGAAGTTTCCTGAACGTCTGAAGATCCATCCTATATTCCATGTGAGCTTTCTTAAGCCGTTCCATGAGGATGGAGAGGGCAGTGGTCGAGATGCTAAGAAGGCACCGCCAACGATCAAGGTCAAGTTTGACAAGGAGATTGAGAAAATCCTTGATCATAGGACGTTGGGTGCTAGTAAAGAACAACTGGAGGACTGAGTATTTAGTTCAATGGAAGGGCGGTAGTTTTGCTGGTGCTACTTGGGAGAAGGCAGTCTCCTTGTGGCAGTATGAAGATCAGGTCAATACTTACTTGAGTACCCTCCTGACGAGGACGTCGGTTTCTTCCGATAGGGGTGGTGTACTAGCCCTTTGGATTCGGAGAGGCGCGGTGGCATGATGGCTGGTGCATCATGGCCATCAGCTTAGGCGCCAAGGCATGCTAGCAGGGGTGGCATGTCCTTGGGCCAAAGACTTGGCTGTTCAAGACGATCAGCATTGTAGGCACATGGCGTGGTGCGTGTGCAAAGCTGTGCATGTGGGTGTTCGAGTGTGCATGATGGTCGGCTGTGTGGCGCAGTGACTTGGCTGTGTGGTGCAATGACTTGGCTGTGTGCCGCAGTGACTTTGCTGTGTGCCAAGTCAGCGCGCCAGGTGGCGCGGGGCGCCACAAAACTCGGAAGGCAGCGTGGCTTGGTCAATTAGTGCATGTGATGGGCGGTTATTGGCCTTTGTGGGATGCATATGAGACTGAGAGCCTCTGGGGCGGATAAGGTTGACAAATGGCGCAGTGCATGGGCAGACGACGTGTCTGGCAGTACGTTGACTAGCCAGACACGCCTAGATGTTCCTGGCTGGTTGGTCCAGCACACCCTAGGCAGTTGGGGGTTGTCAACCGAACTTGTATGTCTTATATTCACGATTGTGTGCAGAGACATGGGCATGTCATGATCCTGCAAAGTCTGTAAACACTTATATTCCTTTAGTGAGAGAATAATAAAAGGTTGGGAGGGGATTTCCCGTATATTGTGTGCCTTGCGTTTCTGATTGTTGCTGTTGCTTATTTTCTACATGTGATTGTTTATTCGTGTGTGCTGTGTTGTATTGGTTTGGCGGACTGAGTGAGGATCACTTGGGCCATCACGGTGGTGGAATTTTGTGTTAAAAATTAGCCCTGTGACAAGATCCATGTAGGGGATTATCACTTTTATCCTTTTCTTTATTTCTTTTTGGCAGTGGAGTTTTGTCTACTCGTGGTTACTGGTTAGTTATTCTGCTTAGGTATTGATCAGGTGTTTGCCAGTTATCTGTTATTATCTTCTGATTTATTTTCTTGAGACATCGGAAACCGTGACTGAATGTCTGCATTCCCTGTTGCCCTTCGGTATTGTGCATTTTGGTTTACCATGTCTAACTTCATATAATATATTAGGAAGGAGCAACAAAAGAAGATATTGATCGATTGCCAAAGTTCAAGTTCCGCAAGATATCTAATTTCGAGAAAGTTAATGGAGAGATCCAAGAATCTTTTGGAGGAGTAATGATTGACTGCAACACTGATCCACCGATTGAACGCGTTCTTTCTCGAGAAGATGCTGTAAGTTTCATGATACAGTAAATAGAAAGTTCCAAATATTTACATACACGGTTAGATGACATTTCTTACAGAACCAAATCAGGTTTGCTATAGTAAGAATTAAATGCCATATCTATGACCCTAAGCTTTATAGTTCAAGTACCATGCACCATCACAGAATGTTGCAAAGGCGTACGCAATAATTTTCATGTCAAAGCAACCAAGCTAGATCTACAATCATTGAACTGCATGCTTAAAAGACGGGGCTCTAGTTTGTAGTTTCAATTTGTTAATGCCATATTTCATAGAAGCATTACAAAAATAAAGCGTTCTTGATACGTGTATCTTACTTCCAAGCTAGATCTGTTTATCTGATGCTAGATTTCTTGTCACATGGCAGAATTACATGAATGAGTTCTGATACTTGAATCTTTTGGTAAATCTTAGGAATGCTGCATTTGTCTCTCTGCGTACGATGATGGGACCGAACTGCGTGAGCTTCCTTGCCATCACCATTTTCACTGTTCCTGCATAGACAAGTGGTTACATATAAACGCAATATGCCCTCTGTGCAAGTTCAACATTTTGAAGCCTGGTGGCGAAGAAGTATGAAACCTCCAGTTTACTTTCTGCATATACTAGGAAACTGTTTTCGTTTTGTCTGTACAACACAAGTACCTTCCCTTCCGGAGATGGCTTCGCATGAGAATCGCCATCCATGCAAACTTTTGTTTTGTTTTGTTAGTACTGTTATTATTGTCGTTGAATATTATACGAGGTTTGGTATAGATTTGGTATTCCCAGATGAGAAATTTAGTATACAGGATTATGCTTGTAGATGTCATGTCTTATTTTTAATTCTGTGAGGCTTCATGTTTCAACGGTATTACAGTAAGGAAAAGGAAATTGCTACCATGTGAAGGTCCAGGTATTGCAGAAAAAGATTACAATCGGACAAAAATAAGGAGAAATAAAATTCCTTTGAAGTGTTAAGTTATACTGTTAATACAATGCATATAAAATCAATTTGGTACCCTGTATTATAACAAAAGATTGAGTTGATACCATATATTTTTCATTATATCAAAATGATACATTTATATGTTAAAAAACGTTTTGTTAGTATTTTAGGTTATTTTTTAGGATGATAAATGATAAATGTACCCTTATTACTATTCTCTCATTTTTCTGACCTGAAAATCAATTTCAATAAACCATTATAATAAAATTGCTATCCTTGTAACGAAACATCATTTAAGTTGAAAAAGATCTCGTTCCTTTAAAAAAAATAATAATAATAATTTCCCTTCTCTCCCCATATGAGTGTCTTCTTCCTTATCGTTGCTCTTTCAGCAAAAATACTATTTTGATATGAGTCTTAAATTCGAAAAGAAGTGGCATGACATTTGAGAAAAAACTCTTCGTTGAAGAAAGCTTGAAGAAAAACTCCAAGATTCGCCATCCAGAAAAGATGGAATTGATAAGCCCACCGAGACTACACTCCGAATCTATGGCTGCGACCTCATCCAAGAAAGCGGAATTCTGCTCCGATTGTATGTTATCTTTCACTTTCTTTTTCAATTCCGTTCGATTTTGTACATTTAAGTGTGAATTTGTTTGATTTCGTTCGTCAAAATTGTTTCTTTTTCGCAGACCGCAAGCTGTAAATGGCGACCGGCCAGGTTCTGTTCCATCGTTTCTATTGCAAGAAGTCAATTGCCCGCTTCAATGATTTGAAAGCTTCTTGAATTTGGGCCTTCTGGATTGTTTCTCAAAATGCTTGTTTCGAAATTTGTGATAAATTAATGTCCTGCTTTTCAATCCCATTTTGTCAATATAATCCGTCAGAATTTAATTGCTTAATCAATTCTTGACAGGGAGTGAAAAAATTCAATTATTTTTTTTATGGTATGATAATGATATATACTCTGCAGAAAGTGGGGTTACCATAAATTGTATCGTTTAAACAATAGGTAGTGTTGGTGTTTGGTTACAAGTTAATAAATATTTTTACCTATTATTTTTTGTTAAATAGAAATTTAGATCAGTTCATTATTAATAAAAGGTAAAGCGGACAATTTATGTCTCAAAAAGAGGTTAGGATACTAAAAAAATGTTTTTTAAAACATAAATGTACCATTTGAATATTATGAAAAATAAAGGGTTTTAACTCAATATTTTGCTAGGTGTTAAATTAATTTTATCCCTTTCCGATTTAACTAATGAGTCTTTATGTAAAACGATAATGTTACAGAAAAAGAAAATTTTAATAAACCTAGGAGAAAGGCTTTGGGAAAATCTAAACTTAAAAATGTAATTAAAAGTATAAATTAAGAGAAAAAAGAACGAGCAGAATATATATATATATATTTATATTTATATGAAGAAGCGGTAGCTTTCATACGCATCATCGTTTCTTTCTCCTCGTTCTTTTTCAAGTTGTTGTCGTGTATTGCGGGTGATTGTCCTTTAGTTGGCGTTCACTTATTCGGTCGCTTTCCAAATTAGTTGTTCCATTTCGCATTGCCTACTTCCCTTTGATTGTCGTTTTTCCAATTTATTGTTCTCTTTTTTATTGATTGTTTCAGAGGTAACCAAAAAAAAATTTTGAAGAACTCAGAAGCGCCCATTTCTCGTCCGTTGGATCAGGTGATGTGATGGACCCCACCATCACAAAGGCGCAAGAGTCATCATGGCTCTCTTTGCACCAGCCGGGAATCGAACCCGGGTCTGTACCGTGGCAGGGTACTATTCTACCACTAGACCACTGGTGCTTGTTGTTTAATACGTACTACAAATTTTACTAATTATGAATAACGGGTAGAAGAGCATATGCCACGACAAAATGCAAGTTTTCTAGATTTTGTTGACAAATTCTATTTACTACTTAAGTAAGGATTTTGTAATTCGTTTTTGGCACTTCCATTTCATACCAATTAGCATGTAGTTTTCTTATTGAAGAAACTAAACTAAAACCAATGAGGCAATGACGATACAATTCCCAACATCTTTTTTATACAAAAATTTTATAACCAAGTACACTTTTGCAGTCCTAAATTCCTACTTATAAGTTCTAACACTATGCAAAGCCACAACATATGTAGAGTAAGATGTGCATTCTAAAATCTACATTCCATCACGAGTTTGTAGCGGGGTTTCAATCTTAACCGGAAAGGAACTGTTAAGATGATTTGGAGCGTCTAATGTGCTGACAGAATCCCGCCTTGACGAACTCCATTCATCAATACTAGGCAAGTCGGGAGCAGAAACATCGATACTAGTACTAGTAACTTTCCCTGGACTATAACTAGCCTCACCGTTATGGAAATGTCTTGCCAATCTAAACACCATATTTTTCATAGACTGATTTCCCACATTTGTTTGTCGATGGCGTCTATAGTTGTATTGTAAGCGAACTAAGGAGACCAGAAAACAGATAGTGGAAGTGGCACCAGATATAAGGTAGATACCCCAGAAGCTCTTGAGGCTTAAACTTTGAGATTCATTTGTTGTTTTGTCTTCTGATGAACACTCATCCGAGGGAATAAGACATTGATTTACCAGTGATGTTATGTTTCCATCTTCTGATAGCTTTAGAATGGCTTCTGAAACATCTTTGGCTATAGGAGAGCCTTTCTGGAATACCTGCAAACCATGGTTGATCAAATTGTAATAATATGATTTTGTTTTTTTTTTTTTTTTTTGTGATTTTTCCTTTGAATTTTAACTCAATTAAGAAGTTGCTTCTTGAACTTCTAATTTTGGCAAATTACCACATGAATTTAATAAAATGTTGCAAAGTTCCCATACATTGATGATTAATGTTAAAATTTTGAAAGAAATTCTCTCATGCACGTCACATAACATGACCCTATTGTTATCCAAAATTTTAGTCTCTTCCTTCATACGAGCTCACATATCACATAACATGTCCTATAGTGTTTCCATTCAAAATTTATCATGTGTTACTGATTCAACGACACTCGGAACACTTTGTTAAATTTAGGTATATTACTTGGCGGAATTAAAAGTTAGAGGTAACTTGTCAATCCTGAAAAGTTTAAGGTGGAGATGTGACAAAACTCTAAAAACATTTCTTCACTTCTTTAGAGTGATAAGAGTATAAAGTGAATAAAGTAAAGCTATACTCACAAATCCCAATCCTCCAAATCTGTAGGTCGGTGTAGTGGTTGTGAATTCCTTGCAGTACTTGTTAAGAAAAACTCTCTCGTATGGGAGCTCAAGAAAGGCAGCAATTATGTTTTTGTTTGTAAATTGTGCCGCATAATCATATTCCTTAGTAACATTGTGGATATTCTCTGCTTTGAATTCAAGCACATGCTCTAGGTATCTCCTTACAAATGAATCACCATCACAACCAATAAAGGCAGCAATTATGTTTTTGTTTGTAAATTGTGCCGCATAATCATATTCGTTAGTAACATTGTGGATATTCTCTGCTTTGAATTCAAGCACATGCTCTAGGTATCTCCTTACAAATGAATCACCATCACAACCAACCTTCTGATTTGTTCTTTTCAGCCATGCAATATCTGTTTCCGGTTCTAGTTGTCTCACGGTGAACCTCGAAGAAAGGCTTGCAGTGTAGCTTGCTGTTACGATGAACACTAGAAAAAGCCACATCATGACAACTACTCTAGTGATGTTGCTATGAATTTTCTCTCCTGCAAAAATTAAGCATTAGTTCTATGCATGGCAAATTTCTAAATACCAACTAATAAAAGAATGACAATCAGATGTCAAGCCAGTTGGTATTAAACAGTTGGGACCCCAAGCATTATCCATGATCGTTTTGTCAATGCTATGACGTGTGAGATTTGTGCTAAGCTATAAAGAAGCTTACTTTGAGCAAAGAAGATAGATGAGAAAGTGAACCAAAGGGTGGTGCCAACTTGGTTTTTCAATGTGCCACTGAATTCTGGATTTGTGGGATGCTCCAAGAACCAAACTATAAGCATCGTGTAAGCAAAGATGGCACCAGTCACCACCCACATTTCCCCAGTGAAAGGCTTTATGAATATCCATGTTGACTCTTTGGACCTGATGGGGACTACCATTGACAGCCCTGATTCCATGTATGGCTGAGTGAACTCAACGCAGTCCAATCGGTCAGCTAGAATGGTCACGTCGCCCACAACAGCATCAAAAGTCTTCCATCAATGTTATTCACTTATTAGAACAACTGAACAAGCTATATGGTCTTGCAATTAAGGACTTAAAAGAAACATAAGAGTGTAAAACTGTTATACCTTGTTATAGACAGCATCAACTAATTCATCATATGTGCCGTAGAAGGCTTCAAATCGATATGGGATATCATAATCCAAACGTTGTAGAACCTTTCTAAAAATTCTTACGCATAAACCATCATACCCCTGATCATTTGAGTACTTTTTCGACTCATCAACCGTCACAAACTTTCGGAATTGGGTTTTACCAGGAACTCCAATTTTTAGTGGTTTTGAAATCGTAGGCATTGCCCAGCCTTTTGGTTTGCTATTCCGTGAGTTCCCTGGCCAAAGTACTGAACCACTTAACCCAGTGGAGTTTTTACAATCAAAAGAACCTCTAGTTTCAATTTTAGCCTTTTCTATAACATTAAAGAATCCATACTCAAGATTCCAATAGTCAAGTTTGTGGTAACTTCCTTTATCAACCACATTCACAATTCTTAATATTGGATTATGCACTAACTTGCCTTCTTTGAAACTAACTTTTCCACTTAAACCACTGAAATTGGCGGATAATATATTTTCCAACAGCATTTTTGCACTAGCGTTACTAGTCATTCTCTCCAAGGCTTGTGTAATGGTCCCAATGCTGTCATATGCTCGCAAAGCATGAATTCCCGGGTTTGCTTCTCCGAAAAAGTACTGGAATTGGGCATTAAAGGCTTTGTATGAACTAGTTCTTTTGTCATAGTAAGTCTTGATTCCTAGAGTTCCTTTCATAGAGGAAATGATGGAGTGGTCAAGAGAGTCTAGCAAACTTGTAACGCTCTTTGTGATAATCCAAGCCGAGTCCCTCTGCAGAAGTCCTATTTTCTTAGCCTCTCTAAACAAGTGAGCCACCATAGGTGATGAAGATTGAAGAACGACAAAAACTCGAGATTGTACACTCAAAAGCTTTAAGAGATTATCTAGGACAACTCCTTTTGGATCAGAAAGAGATGAATAGGGTGGAAGGACTAAACAATATTCGATCTCAGAACTAATATTCTGAAAAGCCTCATTTAGAATGGTTAAGGCTCCTGAGCCATCCCCATAGTCATCATCTTCATAGATCACTACAACTTTTCTCCATTTGTAGGCACAAACAAGATCCGCAATGCACTTAATTTCGGCCAAGGCATCATTCGCCATTGTTACCAAGAAAGGCCATCGAAGTTGCATTTGTGGGGGTGTTATGCTAGGTGATACTAATGAAATAATTGGAACTTGAGTTTGGTTTCCCACTTTTCCTACTAAAGCTGCCTCTTGCCATGTCTCCATGCCAATTATCACTTCTGCATTTTTCTCCTCAATCATCTTTTTGGCTAAAACAAAGTCCAAAACTTTCATATGTCAATCATGGAAGCCACAAATAAAAACACACTTTAGCAGAAGTTTTTGCAATTTTTTGGTTATCATCAACACCACAGTGGTGAGTGAGAGCATTTGTCCTATTTAAATTTTGAATAATTTTAATATTTAGTCCTAAACTTTCTAAAAGATTTTAGTCGTGCTCAATTTTATTAAGAAAAAATTTAGGGCCCAACATCCATACAAATTCAGATACATAAATTTTATATCATAATAGAATCTAATGAATAAATACTCAAAACATATTTTAAAAATAAGTAAAATTTCATTGGATGAGTTCGGTTTATGATGGGTTGCTAAAAACTGAACCTAAACCCGCCCAATAAAAATGTTGGGTTGGGTGGGTTAACCCAATCTTAAACTCGGGTTAAGTCAGGGTGAGACAAACTTGATTCGTTTAGTTAATTTGGATAATGGGAAGAAAATTATAGAACATGGTAAGAGATACTAATCAGAACTTTCAGGAAAAAAAAAAAAAATAATAAATATATATATATATATATATATATATAAAACTAACCAGAAGAAGCTGCCATGAGGGGTTCACTTTTGGAGTGGTGGAAATAAAGAGAGAGCTTGTGGCCCTTTGAACTGTTGTTGAAGTTTTGAGCTGCGATTTCCATGGCAGCTCTTTGCTCTTTCCCAATACGAGAATCGAAATCGATGATTATTCCGACGTTTGTGGTTGCCTTCTTGTTGGTAGCTTGAGTTCCATGGGATGTAATATTAATGAGAAAAAACGCAATTAGTAATACATGACACATCAAGGAACCAAGTTTTGATGTTGAAGCAACAGAATTTATAAAATCAAAAGACATTGTGGGACTTTAAAATATTCCAAGCACAGAATCTTGTTCACGACTTCATATAATGAACGTGAGAGAGAGAGAGAGAGAGAGAGATGGGACCAAATCAAATGCAAACTTACCAGTTTCTTTCATTAAGAAGTCAACAGTTTGGAAAAATCAACGCGAAACCTTGCTTATTTACCAAGTAAGAATCTTAGAAAATTCAACATGAAACTAATGGAATTTCCCATAGAAGAAAACTTGGATGTCTATTTCCTGAACTCTTCAAACTTTTCTTTGTCGTTAAACATCATTCAGTGACAGCAAATATATATATATAGATATATATATATATATATATAGACACATACACATATAATAATAATAAAATAAATAAATAAACAAAAACTACATAATCCAAGGAATCTTCGATTACAATCTCATAGATACCTCTCTACTGGTCAGAGTAATATACTACATGCACCACTAAAATATATAGTTCGTTATTACAATTATTATTTTTCTAAATGATGCAACAAGTGCTATAGTTGTTTGATTTAAGCGAGAATGAAAAGTGAAAACATGTATTTTATATTGTTTTATTAATTAGTGAACCTTCTTGTGTTGAGAAATTACGCTTTAATCCCAAATATTTGAGAGCATTAATAAAACGCAAATGGGGCACACAAGATTTGTGGCTTGGTTGATTGATGATTTATGTTTGTCTTTCGTTTTCTTGTCATTTGTTTCAAGAAATATATTGATCAATTCCGTCTATTGATTCTTTTCCGATCGAGATGTATGAATCTATAAGTTTATGTGTCTATATATATCTTGTTCATAGATTAACGAAAATGTGCAAAATCCTTATTTACCTCGGTAATTCTATGAGTCTCTTCTTTTTTGCGTATGACACCACTCTCTTAGTTACGTCTAGTGCTGCAACTTCGGGCGGCGGGCATGCCCGGTGCCCGAAAATTTTCGGGCATGGCGGGCAGGTGCCTCTCGCCGTCCGCCGCGGTATTTTTCGGGCACGGGCTCGGGCAGCCCGAAAATATTCATTCCCCCGACTGCCCGCCGCCGTGGAGAAGTCGTCCCCCGCCACTCGTTGGATTTTTTTTTACTTTTCCGGCATTACCCGAAGTTGCCCGAATTTTTTGCCCGTTGCCTGGCTTTTTTTTACCATTAGCCCGAAAAATGCCCGAATTGTGAACCAAATGGATCTTTTTTGCCCGAACCCGACCCAACCCAAATTTTGTCCGAAAATTTGAACCCAACGATCGGATTTTTTTACCGTTGGCCGACTTGTCCAAAATCTGCCCGAAAATTATACTAGCTATTGGACCCAAATTTTTGGGGGAAAATTTTTTTTTTTAACCCAAAAATTTTCCTATAAATACCCCCCTCCCCCAACCATTTTCCTCACCCAAAAACTCTCATTCTCTCTCAATTTCTCTTAATCTCTCTTAATCTCGCTTAAATCTCTCTCGATCTCTCTTAATCTCTCTCAAAGCGCTCTCAATCTCTCTTATTTTTCATAATGGCTTCTTCTGGTTATGGTGGTGATATTCCCATTGATGCCCAATTCAACATCGAAGAAGGACAATTTCTTAATGTTTTTCAAACGCAAGAATCACAAACTATGGAAAGAGTTGCTGATGAAACTGCAAATCCGACCCCTGGTGGACGTACTAGAGGTCGGGGACGTAATGGTGGTGGCACTAGTGGCCGTGGAGGAGAGGCAAGCGGTAGTGCTAGTGCAAGTGTTGCAAGTTCTAAGAAGAAATGCAAGCGCACCTCAGCAGTTTGGGAGCACTTTAACACATTCGAGGAGGTCGACAATAACGGTAACATTAAATACATAGCTCAATGTAAATATTGTGGTGAGAAATTACAAGGTAACACTATTCACGACACTACACACTTAAGAAGAAACTCTGAAAAGTGTTTTCAAAAGCAAGGAGGCGGAGCTGATCTCTTCCAAACACAATTATCGTTTGACCACCAAACCGGTGGTCTAAGCACGTGGAAATACGATCCGCAAGTTGATCGTATGGAAATGACACGATTAATAGTCACATTAGATCAACCACTAAGTTTTACTGAACAAAGAAATTGGCAGTGTTATATTAAAATTGTACATAATCCTAATGCACAATTTTTTTCTAGAACTACTCTTAGGAAAGATGCATTAAAATTATATAAACAA